GGCTCTCAAGGAGCTCACATTCTAATGGGGGAGACAACCTGTAAATTACTAGGTATATTATACACAGATGAAAGAGAGAGAGAGATGAAATATAATTTCTTTTTTAAATTTTTTATTAATTTATTTTGAATTATCAACAATCACTTCCATAAGCTTTTGAGTTTTGAATTTTTCTCCCCCTCTCTCCTCACCTCCTTTCCCAAGACAGGAACGCAATCTGATATAAGCTATACATACACATTCCTATTAAACATATTTTCAGATTAGTGATGTGGTAAGGAAGAATTAGAACCAATGGGAGGAACTACCAGAAAGAGGAAACAAAACACAACAGAAGAAAAAAATAGCAAATAATATGCTTCAATCTACATTCCAACTCCATAGTTCTTTCTTCTTTGTGGATAGCATTTTCCATCACGAGGCCTTTGGAGATGTATTAGATGCTTGTACTGCTGAGAAGGGCTAAATTTATCAATATTAGTCATCGTACAACGTGGCTGTTATTGTATACAATGTTCTCCTGGTTCTGCTCCCTTCACTCAGCATCAGAGCAAACAAGTCTTTCCAGGTTTTTCTGAAGTCATCCTGCTCATCATTTCTTACAGCACAGTAGTATTCCATTACATTCATATACCACACAGCTTGTTCAGCCATTCCCCAGTTGATGGGCATCCCCTCAATTTCCAATTCTTTGCCACCACAAAAAGAGTTGCTATAAATATTTTTGTACATGGGGGTCCTTTTCCCATTTGTATGATCTCTCTGGGATATAGCCCTAGAAGTGCTATTGCTGGGTCAAAAGGTATGCACATTTTTATAGCCCTTTGGGCATAGTTCCAAATTGCTCTCCAAAATGGTTGGATCATTTCACAACTCCACCAACAATGCATTAATGTCCCAATTTTCACACATCTTCTCCAACATTTATCATTTTCCTGTTTTGTCATGTTGGTCAATCTGATAGCTGTGATGTGGTACCTCAGAGTTCTTTTGATTTGCATTTTTCTAATCAATAGTGATTTAGAGCATTTTTTCATATGACTATAAATGGCTTTAATTTCTTCATCTGAGAACTGCCTGTTCATATCCTTTGACCATTTATCAGTTGGGGAATGACTTGTATTCTTATAAATTTGACTTAATTCTCTATATATTTTAGAAATGAGGCCCTTATCAGAGAGACTGGTTGTAAAAATTGTTTCCCAGCTTTCTGTTTCCATTCTAATCTTGGTTTCATTGGCTTTGTTTGTGCAAAAACTTTTCAATTGAACATAATCAAACTTATCCATTTTGCTTTTCATAATGTTCTCTATCTCCTGTTTGATCATGAATTCTTCTGTTCTCCATAAATCTTATAGGTAAACTATTCCTTGCTCTCCCAGTTTACTTATAGTATCAGCCTTTATATCTAAATCATGAACCCATTTTGACTTTATTTTGGTATATGATGTGAGATTTTGATCTATGCCTAGTTTTGAAATATAATTTCAGGGAAGAATGCCCTTGTAACTGGGGAGGATCAGAAAAGGCCTGCTACAGAAAGTGAGATTGAAGCTGAGCCTTAAAGGAAGCCAGGGAAGTTAGGAGGCAGAGGTAGGAGGAAGGTCACTCTAGACTCAGGATACAGTAAGTAAAAAGATAGAGGGTGAGGAGATGGAGTGTATTATGGAGAGAAGAGCATGAAGGCCTATGTAGCTGTATTGTAGTGTATGTGGAGGGGAATAAAGTGGAAGAAGTATAGAAATAGAGGAAGGGGCCATATTGGGAAGAGCTTTAAATGTCAGAGGACTCTATGTTTGATCCTGAAGGTAACAGGGAGCCTCTGGAATTTATTGTATAGATGGGCAACTAGGTGGCACAGCAGATAGAGTGGCAGGCCTGGAATCGGGAAGACTCATCTTCACAAGTTCAACCCAGCCTCAGACACTTACTAGCTGTGTGACTCTGGCTAAGTCATTTAACCCCTTTTGACTCAGTTTCCTCATCTGTAAAATGAGTTAGAGAAGGAAATGGCAAACCACTCCAGTATCTTTGTCATGAAGAGTCAGACACAACTGAACAACAAAGTGCTTTAGGAAAACCACTTTGGCAACTGCGTGGAGGATGGCTTGGAGCAAGGAGACTTGCTGCAGGAAGACCAAGGCTATTGTAGCAGCCCCCATTAGAAGCCTGTACCAGGATAATGGTTGTGGGAGTGAAGAGAGAGGACATACACAAGAAATATGAAGGCAGCAATGACAGGATTTGACAACAGATTGGATGTGTGGGATCAATGAGAATAAGTCTGGGATGACACATAGCAAGGTAGCCTATGTGACTGGGAGGACAGTGGTACCCCTGACAGTAACAGAGAAGTCTGAAAGAAGAGAGAGTTAGGGGAGGTGATGAACTCTGTTTTAGGCATTTGGGGTTTGAGATGCCTATGGAATATCCAATTCAAGATGTCTAGAAGGCAGTTGGTAGTTGGAACTGTGTGACTGTAGCTCAGCAAAAAGACTAGGAAGGGATGGATATATAGATCTGAAAATCATCTGTATAAATAGGATCGTTGAACTCATGGGAGCTGATGAATTTTCCAAATGAGAAAGAATAGAGTGAAAGGAGAATAGAGCCCAGGACAAAGACTTGGGAGACACTCATGCTTGGTGAGTGTGATGATGAATAATCAGGAAAGGGTCAGTGATTAGAGAGATAGAAGGCAAACCAGGAGAGAGGTCTATGAGGAAAGCCCAGAAAAAAAGAGACTCTCTAGCAGGTGATCCACAATATCAAAGATTGCAGAGAAGTCAGGAAGGATATGTCGAGAAAAGGCAGATTTGGCAAATTCATTTCTTTGGTGAGAATAGTTTCAGCAGAATGAAGAGGTCTGAAGACAGAATGCAGAGGGTGTAGAAGAGTGAGAAACAAGAGGAAGTAGAAGCACCAAGAAAAGGGGAAGATATATATAAGATGAAAGCTGATGGGCATGGTATGATCTTATGAGAGTTTAATAAGGATGGGGGTGTATTTGTAAGCAGCAGGGGAAGAACCAGTAGATAGGAAGATATTGAACATAAGAGAGACTGGAGATGATGGGGGAGGAGGCAATTTGCTGGAGAAGTAGGTAGAGGACAGGATCAAGGGTGCATGTAGAGGGGTTGATCTTGGCAAAGCAAAGGGCCACCTTTTCATTCAAGATTAGAGTAAAAGAATGAGATAGTAGGGGGAAGATATATCAGTAAGGTGAGATGAGAAGGAAGATAGAAAGGGAAGATGTCAGCAAATATCTTCAATTTTTTCTTATGGCACAAAAATATTCCATTACATTCCTATATTACCACATTCATCTATTTCCCCAATGAATGAGCATCCACTTTGTTTCTCGTTTTTAACTAACACAAAAGGGCTGCTATAATTATCTTGTTATATATAGGACTTTTCCCTCTGTCTTTGACTTCCTTGTGGTATATACTATACCTGGTAGTGATATTGCTGGGTCAAAGACTATCAGTTTAGTCATTTTTTTCTTCAATTCAATCCCACAAACATTTATTGATGTTTTTAAAATAAATTTTGATATCTTTTGTTTTTATAACACTTATATCTCCCAAGATGTCCCCTACCTCTTCCCAGTTATCCTTTATAACAGAGCATTAAAAAAAAAAAAGAGGAGGGGGGAAATACAGCAAAATAAGCCCTTAAATTTAAAAAAAAGTGTAATAATCATCTGGAGTGTTCCACACCCATAGCCTCCTACCTCTACAAAGAAGGGAGTGAGATACATTCTCATATCTCTTTTTTTCAGTCAAGCTTGATTAATTTCATTGCATTTAATTTCAATGGTTCTGTTGCTGATCTTTTCATTAACATGCTTTTAGTTATTGTATATATTGTTTTCTTGGCTCTACTTACTTCATTTTGCATCATTTCCTATAAGTCTTTCCATCTTTCTCTATATTCATCATAGGCATAATTTCTTACAGCATGCTAATATTCTCTTAGCATTGTGTACCACCATTAGTCTAATCATTCTCCAAACCTTGGACATCTACTTCGTTTCCAATCCTTTGCTATCCTACAAAAAGTGCTCTGATAAACATTTTGATGTCAATGGGGCCATTCTTTTTGTTATTGATCTCTTTGGGGCATATACCTAATAGTGCAATCTCTGAGTCCAAGGTGTAGACATTCTGGTGACTTTCTTACGATTTTTCTTTTTTCTTTTTTTTTTTGGCTAGACAATGGGGTTAAGTGACTTGCCCAGGGTCACACAGCTAGTAAGTGTTATGTGTCTGAGGACGGGTTTGAACTCAGGTACTCCTGAATTCAGGGCCGGTGCTCTATCCACTGCGACACCTAGCTGCCCCACAATTTTTCCAAATTGCTTTTTCCCAACTGCCTAGACCACTTCACAGCTCCACCAACAATGTATAGTGTGCCTGTCTTTCCACACAACCCCTCTAACTTTAACTATTTCCATCTTTTGTTTTCTTTGACAATTAGGTGCGAAAAGAAAGTTCAAGAGTTCTTTTGCTTTGCATTTTTCTTATTGGTAGTGAGTTGGAATGTGTTTTTTTTTAAATGTGGTTTGTTGATATTTCTTCATTTTTCTAAAGGAAGAAACTGATGCTTAAAAAGTTTAAGTAAATTGCTCAACATCACACCCTGTATTAGAGCAGGGATTTGGGACTAGGTTCTGTGACCCTCCCTCCACCCCATCCAATGCTCTTTGTACTATATATTGCCCTTCCCGCCTGGAGCTCTGACCAGGGTTACAGATCGACGCCTCAGATCTCCATTCTCAAGTTCCAAAGACACTCATTGGCCAGGTAGGGGAAAACAGTCAAGGCAACCTTGGCTAGTTCCTGGGCACCCTGAGCAGGGCCAGGACTCAGCAGTGATGTCATTCAGCTACGGGGAAAGGGTAGGGGTTGAGGGCATGAAACTCTCCCATCTTCCACCTCTGGTCTCCTCCCACTTTCCCCCAACCTCGCCTCTATTTTCTCCCTATCTCTTTGCAGGCCCATGGTCGAGAGCGCCCTCTACCGTCAGCGGCTGGAGGTCATTGCTGTAAGTGACCGAACGCTCTCCGGTCCCTCCCGGAGGCTTCGGGGACCGTTCGAACCCCGCTCTATGCTCCCCTCAGCGAAACCTGCCGCCAGCCCTGAGCCTGGGACTGCAGCCTCTGCCCGCGCCCCGTCCCTATTCCCATTCCCACGGAGCTCTGCTCCCCATTCCCTCCTGGGGGGAGTGGGCTGAGGCTGGACGGACTCACCTCTGGAGTGAGTGAGCGAGCAGTGCCTCCGGAGCTAAAGTGCCCTCCACCTCCCAATTCCCCAAACCTCCATCTCCTTTCTTCCAATTTCCTATTTCTCTTTCCTGTCCCCCCAATATCCTATGTCTCCATACCTCGATCCTCCCATTTCATACTTCCAAGTTCCCTGTCCCCAGTTCCTCACCTCCTGTTTCCTTTTCCCCAAAATCCATCTCATGTCTTGTCCGAATCGTGTCTCTCCATCCTGACACCCAAACTCCCGTATTCCCACGCCTTGATTAGCCCGTCCTCTCAAATCCTCCTCACCCTGCCGCCCAGTCCCCCATCTATCTATACCCTACTTTGTTCATTCCCCCCGTTCCTGTGCTCTCCATCTCTCTGTCCCCATTTCTTCTGTGAAGGACCTATTCACAATCTCACCACTCCCTTCTCTCCATCCTCCTGTGCTCATCACCATATTTCCTTTTCCCTGACCCGTTCCTTATCTCCCCATCCCCTGAGCTGCATTTCCCCCAGTTCTCTGTTCCTCATTCTCTCCTTTTCTTCATCCCCACACCATCCTTGTCCCCCCATCCCCCGTTTCCATCTTCTCAGTCTCCCGCCTCTGGCAGAGAGCCGCAGGATCCGGCCCCGGGGCGCGGCCAGCACCACCCCTTCCCCTGTCCCTCACCCCCGCCCTTCCTAGAACTGCTGAGTCAGCGCCTCCCAGACCACCCCCTCTTTCCCCGCACCCACAGCAGGTCTCAGCTCCAGACTGTAGAGGGTAGGGGGTGGGGGTCTTTCCCCACTCCACCTCTTCCCAGAACCCGAGTAGGACTTCCCTATACCCTATCCTGCCCCTCCCTCGCCCTCAGCTCTAGGCATCTCGGTTGCAGGCATCCCAGGGGAGCCCCTCAAAGACAGAGAGAAAGGAGAGAGCCCGAGAGAGAGGCGCAGGCTGGAGCGATCCCCCTGTCCTGTTTCCGCTGGTTTGGCCAGGCTGGGCTCTGCTAGGCTCCACGGGTCTGAGATGGGCTAGACTAGGCTGGGCTCTCTCCCTCCTAGCCTGGACGGGGTTGGGTTGGGCTTTCTTCTGGTCTAGGCTGGGTTGGGCAGGGTTGGACTTCGCTGGGCCGCCACAGCCCCGACTTGCTTCGCTCTGACCAGGAGAAGCGGCGGCTTCAAGAACAGATTTGCGGAGCGCGGAGGGAGCTAGAGGAAGAAAAATTAAGAGTGCAGCGACTAAAGGTGGGAAGAGTCCTGATGATGCCCGGTCTGAGGACATCCAGGGAAGGAGGGCAATAGTGGAATGTCCCTACCTTAGCGGGGTCAATGAGGGAGGGCATCCATGGTGAGAGCAGAAGAAAAAGGGCTGTCCCTGTGGGAGGGGGAAGTGGGAGAGGAGGTGTGTCCCGGTCTAGGGTTGGGGCATTTGGGGAAGGGTCTGTGGGTGGGGGTAATCCGTCCCAGTCTCGGAGGGTGGGGTGGCTTGTCCAGTGTTTGGCTGGGTTCTCACCTTCCTTCTTGCCCTTCCCCAAGAGGAAGTCCCTTCGGGAGCGATGGCTGATGGATGGGACAGCTGAGGGACCCGAGGGCGCTGAGCCAGAGGCGGATCCCCATTCCCCTCAGGGCCAGGCCCAGGCCAGAATCCAACACTTGGAAGACAGTCTGTTCACGTAAGGGGCAGGGGGGGAGGGCTCTGTAATTAATTGCCCACCTGGCCCTTGGATTCCTGTTCACAACTGGGCCCTGCCCCTTTCTATAGTAGATCAGAAATATTCTGAATCATTGAACTATAATGAGAGGATGTGGGCTGGGAGCCAGCTTTGCTACTGACTACCTTGGGCAAGTCCCTTTCCTTTTCTTTTCCTTCCCTTCCCTTCCCTCCTGTCCCCTCCTGTCCCCTCCCCTTCTCTTCTCTTCCCTTCCTTTTTTCCTTCTCTACTCTTCCCTCCCCTCCCCTCCCCTTCCCCCTTCCTTCCCTTTCCACTCCTACCCTTCCATTCCTTTTCTTTTCCTTCCCTTCCCTCCCCTCCCCCTCCCCTTCCCTTCTCTTTCTTCCCTTCCTTTTTCCTTCTCTACTCTTCCCTTCCTTTTCCTCCCCTTCCCCCTTCCTTCTCTTTCCACTCCTACCTTTCCATTCCTTTTCCTTCCTTACCCTTCCCTTCCCTTTGCCTCAGTTCCCTCATCTTCAAAATGAATAGTTGGATTAGATGACCTCTCAGGGCCATTCATGAGCCTATGAAGGCAGGCCATCTGAGGCTTGGCCCTGGGATGCTGGGAGGGGAGGCTGGACACTTGGGTCCCAATTGTTGGAGGGGTGAAAGTTGGGAAACCAGATTCCTGGCTTCTAGCAGCAACCTCTTCCCCAGACTCCAGTCACAACTCCAGTTACTACAGAGTGCTTCAACAGGTGCCCAGCACAAGACTTCTGCCTGGCCCACCTGGCGACGACAGGTGAGAAGGAACAGGATGTAAAACATGTGTATTCTTTTGAGGGAAGAGAAAAGGGGTAAAATATCCTGGGTGTCTGCTAGACTGTGCTCTTTGAACAGTAGTGAATAGGTAGAGTGGAAAGAGCACTGGATTTGATTCTCCCACCAGTAGCTGTGTGACTTTAGGCAAATTGTTTCCCCTCTCTTAGCCTCAGCTTTCCAACCTGTAAAATTCATGGGATGATCAGGAACCACAAAGATCTAACTAAGCTAGAAAGGTGGGTAGAGAGAAATATAAAATCTTGCACTTAGGTTAAAAAAATCAACTTCAAAAGTACAAGACAGAGGAAGCAGGGAAGCAGGATAATAGTTTATCAGAAAAAAAAAATCTAGAGGCTTTAGTGCATGGCAGGGTAAAGACTAGTCAACAGGGAGGTCCAGCCACCAAAAGAGCTGATGTGATTTGGGTTCCACCAAGAGAGACAGAGTGTCTAGGAACAAGATAGTCCTACTCTACTCTGCCCTGTTCAGATTACAGTGTTTCAGTTCTGAGTAATGAATTTTAGGAAGGTCATTGATAAACTCTATATCACCCAGAGAAGAGCAACCAAGATGGTGAAGGGGCCCCAAGATAATACAATATAAAGACTGCTTGAAAGAACTGGGATGTTTACTCCAGAGAACAAGAGATCTAAATGATGTGCTATTTGGTGGTTAACAACCAGTTCTCCAACTGTATGTGTATACATATACACATACATACATGTATATAGGCACTACCTACAACTCTTAATTTTAATCTGAATTATGAACATTTCTCCATCATTTTCTTGAGACTAGACATCAACAGAACAATAAATCAATCCCTGATTTGTAACATTTGCTGATTTCCGAGGTGCAAATGTTCATGCTGAAAATTTAACAATTAGCTTTCTAGTTGCACTGGCACCAGAATCTCTTTGCAGGTATGGGGTCTTCAAGTACTTGAAAGTCGGTTGGTCACATGGAGAAGGCATTAGACTTGTTCTGATTTAGCCCTGGAAGACAGAGGTAGACGAAATGGGAGAAGATTGTAGAGAGGCAGATCGCAGCTCAAATGTCAGGAAAAACCTTCCTAGCAATCAGTTATTTAGAAGTGAAATGAGCTGCCTCCGAGAGGCAGATTGACACTCACTAGGGATCTTCAAAGACTGAATGACTATTTCTTAGAGATGATATAGGAGGAATTCCTAGTCAGAGCTGCCTATTCTCCCCTCCCCATCTCACATCACTTGGACATCTTCCCCCATTCTCTCCTCCTTCATCCCTTTCTCACATGAAGAGATCACCTTTCCCCTTTCCAAGGCACAAGTAATCTCAGCACATCCTATCTTCTCCAGCAGAATCCCCCCTTTATCATCCCCAGTCCTTCACTAATCTTCAGTCTTTCCCTGTCTACTAGTGGCTTCTCTGCCATCTACAAATACACTGAGTTCTCCTCCATCCTTAAAAAGCCCTCAGCTTGATGTGCCCATCTCTTCTCTCATCTTATATTTCTCCTTCCTTCCATGGCTAAACTAAAGAAAGCTGTTCACAATTACTGGCTCCACTTCCTCTCCTCTCATTCTCTTTTAAACTCTGCAGTCTGGCTTCTGATCTCCTCATTCAACTGAAACTGCTTTCTCTAAAGTGACCACAGTGACTTTTTAATTGCCAATTAAAGTATTCCCAGAATGCTCTTGCTACTTGTCCCCATATCTCCAGGCTTCATTCAAGTCTCAGGCAAAATTCCACCTTCTTCAAAAAGTCAAGGAAAAAAAAACACAAAAAAAGTCTTTCCCCATCTCTCTCAATATTAGTGCCTTCCTTCTGAGATTACCTCCAATTTACCCTATATATTGGCTACAAATGGGACAGCGAGGTCACTCAGTGGATTGAGTGCAGGAATATGAATCGGGAAAACCTGAGTTTGACTCTTGCCTCAGACAATTACTAGCTGTGTGACTTACGCAAGTCACCTAACCCCTTTCAGCTTCATTTTTCTCATCTGTAAAATGGGTATAATAAAAGCACCTATCTTTCAGGCTTGTTGTAAGGATCAAATGAGGTAACATGCATAAAAGTGCTTTGCAAACCTTAAAGTGCTACATAAATGCTAGCTATAGATTTTGTGTGTATATATTTTGTTTGTGGGTGAGCTAATGTGAGCTCCTTGAGGGAAAGAACTGTATTTTTGTCTTTTGTTGTATTCCTAGTGTGTGATGCACTGCCTGGAACAGAGTAAGCACTTGGCAAATGCTTGTTAACTTGACTCCTCTGGAGGTCTCTTCAAACAGAGATTCTGTGGCACTGACCACAAAGATCCCCTCCAGCTGTAGGTCCTATGGACTGATTCAAAGTCTAGCCAATGTCCTCATGCACAGGTCAGATCAGCAAGAGATTCAGAAAGGGCTACAGGAGTCAGAGAACGGAAGGGTCATTGTGTAGGTCAGGGAAGATTGTGGGCAATCAATCAACAAGCCTTATTGAGTGTCTACTACGTGCCAAGCACAGGGCTAAGTGCTGGAGATGAAAAGACAAAATTATCTGTGCCCTTATGAAACTTGCAACCTGATTTGGGGAACAACAGGTAAAGATATAAATGCCTACAGATATTGACAAAATGAAAACGAGGTAGGTCTGGCAGGGAGAGCACTCATACCCAGGAGAATCAGAATGTCATCATGTGGGAGGCCATGCTTGGGCTGAGTTTTGAGAAGCTGGCCAGCTAATAAGCATCTATTACTAAGCACTATACTAAGTGCTAGGGATAGAAAGAAAGCTGGGACTTAACATGGTCCTTGGAAGGCAGAGAGGGCTTGATCTTTAAGGCATCTTTAAGGTTCTAAGTCCTTCATATGGATAGGCAGAAGTAGTAAGTCAGAGTAGAAAGAACCCAGGACTTAGAGACTGAGGACCTGAGTTCAAGTCCTGACTGCCATTCATAATCTGTGTGGCCTTGGACAGTCCTCTCTCTGGATTTCAGTTTCTTTACCTATAAAAGGAAGAAGTTAGGTTAGATGACATCTAAGCCATCTAAGTGCTCTGTGTGTGTGTGTGTGTGTCTGTCTGTCTGTCTCTCTGTCTGTCTCTGTGTCTCTGTATGTGTGTGTGTGTGTGTCTCTCTGTCTTGGTCTCTCTCTCTCTCTCTCTCTCTCTCTCTCTCTCTCTCTCTCTCTCTCTCTCTCTCTCTCTCTGTCTTTCTGTCTTTCTGTCTCTCTCTGTGTCTCTCACTCTCTGACTCTATAGATCAAAGACACTTGGTAAGTTAGAGAGAACACCAAAACCAGTGTGTCTGGACCAGAAGCTTAGTGTATGAAATCAGGGAGGGATGCTGGAAAGATAGGTTGAACCCAGATGATGGAGGTCCTTGAATGCCAGGATGTGGGGTTTGAATTTTATCTCAGAGGCAGTGGAGAGCCATGAAAGACAGTCATTATCAAAATAAGGCTCTAGCAAGATGAGCCTAGTGATCTCAATAGGAAGAATTGGAAGAGAAGAAACTGGAGAGAGATGAATTAAGAGGCAGTTACCAATGGTTTAAGTGAGGGGAGATGAAGTCCAGAATTAGGAGGAAGGAGGAACCAGGGGGAGAGACCAAGTTTAACTACAGAGTTCTGTGTGTCTCCCTTTAGGTATCCCGATCTCTCTCTCAGACTGCCATGGAGCCAGGCCCTGAAGGTGAGTGTCTTCATGCCTCTTTTTTGGGGAGCCACTTTGGGTTTCATTCCCAGATGAGAGGCCTCAGAGTTCCCTAAGATCTGTCCATCACCTAAAAAGCCCATTCAGCATTTTTAATGGTATATTGGATAAAGGCACTAATAGTATATTTGTCAAATTTGCATATAACACCAAGCTGAGAAGGACAGCAAACATAGTCGAAATACCAAAAGATTTCAAGAGGCTAGAATGATGGGTTTATTCTAATAAAATGGAATTTAATAAAGAAAAATTTAAAATCCTATACGTGGATTTTAAAAAATCAACTAGAAGAAAACTAAAAAAAAAATCAAAGATGTCAAGACTTGGCTAATAATAGCTAACATACACACACAGAGCTATTGCTAAATGTTTAACAACTGGCTTCCAGAAAAGAATTCTCAGAACACACTTTTAAATTTAATCTGCATTATTAACATGAGCGCAATCACTTTCCTAAGCCTAGACAATCAACAAAACAATCAATCATGCCCTGATTTGTAGCATTTGCCTACTTCCAAGTTATAAATGCTCACACTGAAAATTTAACAACCAGCTCTCTCAAGCCAGTTTAAGATGGCTCCAGCACACCACAAGCACTATATGACCCCCACACATGGCACTATTTAAAGTTACAAAATGTTTTCTTCACAACAATCTCACGAGGCAAATAGTTGACTATTATTATTTTCATTTTAAAGATGATGAATAAACCAAGGCTTAGAGAGGTGACTTATCCAAGGTCACACCCCCTAGTAGTAAGTAAGAGTCAGAGTTTGAACTCAGATCTCTAGGATGGCAGGTATAATTCTCTTTCTACCACCCAAAACAACAGTTTCCATGGGGGAATTGGAGGGTAGGTAGGCTCTGGGGTTATTAGTGGACCTATAAGCTCAGCGTGAGTCAACAGAGCAGCAGGGTCTGAAGCCAAAAATGTTCATGTCATCTTAGGTTGCATTAATTGAGGCTTAGATCCAGAATGAGAGAGGCAAGTGTTCTCCTGGTCTTTTGTCCTGGTCTCTCTGGCATTTCTCCTGGTTAGACTATACCTAGCATACTGTATTAATCCTGGGCATCCCATTTATGGAAGGGCAACAGCAAACTAGAGGATAAACCCAAAGAGCAGGATGGGGAAAAGGGCTGGAGACTGTGCCATACAAGGGCTGATCAGAGGAGCTGGAGACATTATCCCAGAAAAGACGTTAAGGGAAAATGAGTGCTGTTTCCAAACACTTAAAGAACTGTTCTATATAACAGGGATCAGACTTATTTTGCTGGGCTCCAAAGGGTGAAACTAGAAGCAATATGGGAGGTTGCAGGAAGGTTAGAAGGAAAAAAAAAACCAACTTCCTAACGATTGGAGCTGTCCAAAGTGAACTAGGTCCTCCCAGGAGAAAATGAGCTCACCATTGCTGAAAGTCCTTAAGCAGAGGCTGATGACTATTTACTTGTCAAGCATGTTTTAAAGGGATTTTTTTTTTGGTGAGGTATTCTGGGTTAAGTGACTTGCTCAGGGTCACACATCTAGTGAGTATTATGTGTCTGAGGTCAGATTTGAACTCACATCCTCCACAGCCAGTGCTCTGTCCCCTGCACCACCTAGCTTGCCCCCTTATTTAGGCACAGCTTGGGCTAGATGCCTTCTGAAGCCCTTTCCCAAGATTCTGTGGAAGGCAGAAGCAGATATCATGAACCTGACTCACCCTTTAGGTCTTCCCTTTTTCTGCTCCTAGGCAAGGAAGATCTTGAAAAACGAGCCTCCCTACCTGTTATGCCAGCGGTCTCCATGCCTGATCCCTCTACCTCAAGGATCCCCAAGGAGTTGGGGGTAGAGGCAGCCACAACTTCCCAAGCGCCAAAGAAAGAGGAGGTGTCCACAGCAGATACTATCGAGGTCAATGGTCCATGCCCAGCACCGGTCTCTGGGGAGCAGGAGCTGACCCAGAATCAGGTGGACACAGCAGAAGACAGGGGTCCAGGTGCTGGGGATGGGGTGGACGGCTCTAGGGGAACAGTCCTGGGACCAGGCATAGTAAAGGTGGAGTGGGATGGGCTGAGGTTCCTAGAGGAAAGTGCCAGGGAGGCCCCCACATGTACAGAAAGGGGGAAGGTAAAAGAACGGGAGGTTGAAGAGATAGTCTTAGAGGTGATAGGGGACCACCAGGTAACAGGAGACCCAGAGCTTCCTGAATGGATGACCAAGGACAGGAGAGTCCAGGAGGTGGAGGAAATGGTTCTGGAGGCAATGAAGAACCGGTCAATGATGCAAGCCCCAGAACTTCCCGAGTGGGTGACCAAAGACAGGGGTATTGTTGAGGTTGTATGGGAGGGACTGGGGGGAACTAATGGCAGTGACATGGGGGACTCAGAGGGAATAGCTAGAGAGGAAGCAGCATCAGGCAGCCCTGCTAGCTCAGAGCTAAAGTCCAAAGAGCAGGGCCCTGGGGGGAGTCCTGAGTTGGGAGACCAAGGAGAGGGCTCCTTCATCTGGGTGGAAAGGGTACTCATCACTGAAGACTGGGAGGAGGTACTAGTCGAGGAATCAGAAGGAACCACCAAGGAATCAAAAGAAGGTGAGGCAGGGGAAAGCTTGCAGTTGGGGGGAGAGGAGGAAGGGGAGAAAGAACAGCTGGGAGCAGAGAAAGGAGGGGAAGAAAAGCATTTGGAGACAGAGAAGCTGGAGTTAGAAGGTGAGACTGAGGAAGTCTTTCAGAAGGATGGAGGGAGAGAAGTACATGTAGGAGCAGAGGAAGGAAAAGAGGATGAGGAACAGCTGGGAGTAGAAAAGGAAGGAGAGGGAAAAGAACAGGGGGAGGCAGAGGAGGAAGCAGGGGGAGAGAAACAGCTGGAGGAAGAGGAGGAAGCAGGGGAAGACAAACAGCTTGGAGGAGAAGAGGAAGAAGAGGGAGAACAGCTGAGGTCGAAGGAGGAAGAGGAAAAGGAGGGGGAAGGAGAGGTAGAAAAGGAAATGCCAGCAGAGAAGGATCCCGGAGGAGAGAAGGGGACCGACTCTGAGGAGACAGAGGAGCAGAAACAGGAGATGAAGCAAATTACCCAGCCTGAGGCAGGACCAGAACCACTGGCTGAAGAGGCCACATCAGCCCCGGGTGAGCCCCAGGCTCCAGCCCCATCCCTGGAGCAGCTCCCGGCCCCTGAATCGGGACCCCCAGAATGCCAGCCCCTGCTGCAGCCAGCCACTCGCATCGTGAACCCCGCCAGCCGCCCAGTGCCCACCTATGCACCTGCCCAACGGGCTGAGCCCCCACCTGACAGCGAGCAGGCCAGTGGCTCCAAGCAGACATGTCAGTGCTGTATAATGATGTGAGCCATCCCTCCAGCCAGCTGAGAGACCTTGTGGAAGCAGGGAGGAGCCTGGGGTGTGAGGCTTCCCCCTCCCATCCTGACCCTGACCCAGTCAATCTCACAGCTACCTCGCCCTCCCTTCCACCCTGGGCACAGCCACGGGGTGGGGGTGGGGCCACTGCCCAGCGCAGCCGGGATTCAACACAGGGCCTAGGCACCGGCCACCACACCCTCAGCACAGGCAGGACTCTGGAGGCCCTGCTGCCCTTTCGGCTCTCACCCACTGCCTCAGTGATCCTGGCCTTTCTCCTTTTCCTCTCCCAGCCCCATGCCCCCAGTGATGCCTTAATACTTGAAAATAAAAAGGAGAACAGAATGACATGGAGAACTCTGGATTTGAGATCAAGAATCTGGGTTCAGATTCCAGCTCTATGACTCACCACTATCTGTGGTACCCTCTCTGGCTCTCAGATTTTTCATCTATAAAATGAAAAGGGTGAACTGAAGGACCACTGAGATTGCCTTCCAGCAATCACGGTGACATCACAGCACAGAAGCCTCTGCTACTCGCTAGTCACTCGGGTCTCAGTTTCCTCATTTGTGAAAGGAAGTGAGTAGACTAGGCTATCTCCAAGGTCCCTTCTGGGTCTGAATCCTTGGATCTGTTATCAAGGTACGTGATGAGAGTGGAAGGCCTTCTCCGCCTCTACTTGGGAGACCGAGCTAGGAATAATACTAAACAAATAGCTATCATTTCTATAGCACTTTTAGGTTTGTGAAGCACTTTACAGGCATGATCTCATCTGATTCTCATAACCCCATGAGGTAGGTGTTATTCTTATCCTTATTTTACCAGTGAGAAAACTGAGGCTGAGGGAGATGGACTGAGTGACTCGCCCATAGTTAGCACAGCTAGGAAGGGGCTTAGAAAGGATTCGAACTCAGACTTTCCTGACTTCAAGTCCACCCTGTCACCTGGTGCCCTGGGACCTGGGAGGCTCCAGGGTGTTCCTTCTCCCTGACCAACACCTCTTGAGACCTTAATTTTCCTCAATTCAATTCCAAACCCACTTACGGAGCATCCATGTGGGGTGCAAAGAGCATTGGATTTAGAATCAAAAGAACTAGGTTTAAATCTCACCCCAGTCACTACTTGGATGGCCTTAGTCATGTCACTTAACTTCTATGCTAGGCCTCAGTTTCTTCATCTGTAAAATGAAAGGGTTGGACTGGAAGGTTTCTGAGGTTCCTTCCAGCTCTCAACCTCTGATATTCTCTGTTCTGAAGTACCTCTTATTCTGGGTTACACCCGGAGAAGAGGCAAGAACAGAGAAGTCCCAGACCTTACCCTTAGGGATTTTGTAGCCCAGTTTAAGATAAGACAGATACAGGGGTAGCTAGAATCCAAGGCCAATGGAACATATAATCTGTGTTAGTGAGAGTGGTACAAATGGAGTCTAGGGAGAGCAAAGGAGGAAAGGGGTCAGGTCTGCAGGGAAGACTTCCTGGAGGAAGTGCCATCTGAGCTGAGTCTGAAAGAATGGTTTAGAGTTCAGGGGAGAAAGGCAGAATGAACCGAGGGAACCAAAACCTAGAGAAATGGTGAGAAGGTGTGTTTCAGATATGAACGGTGAGCTGTACGTAGGCTGTCGGGCACTGGAGAGGACAGAGTGGGTCTGTGGGAGGTAAAGCTAGAGAGCCGGGACAAAACAGTAGGACCTTGAATGCCAGGAAGAAAGGTTTAGACTTGGTCCTATAGGCAGTGGGGAGGTCACTCAAGATTTGGGGGAAGGGGAGAGACTTGACTGAATCCCCTGCTCATATATGTGGGTAGGATGAACGAGGAGTGTAAGGCAAAAGAGAGAGCATTGGGTTTAGTGTCAGGGAGCTCAGGTGTTAGCTGAGTTCTCCTTCTGCTCCTGATGAGCTGTGCATCCTTGAGGGAGGGACTTCTCTTTCTGCACTTCTGCCTCCTACTCTGTATGAGGAGGGGAGTTGGACTATTTTACCTCTGAGGATCCTTCTAGCCCTAAACTCTCTGGCCCACTGTAGGACATCATGTGCTCTTCTCCACACGTCCACAGAATGATCCGAGGAACACAGCAGGATTTTCCCATGGCTCTCCTCCCAGAGCAGAAAGGAACTGGGTGGGGTGGGGTAGGGGACAAGAATTGAATCCCAGGCCTTATTCTAACTTGCTGTATGGCTTTGGGCAAATCTTCTCCCATTCTCATCCTTGCCCCCTTAGTCTCCATTGCTGTAAGACAGGACATGGAGCAGACAAAGCAACTTCTAAGCCCCTTCCAGGTTTGGTCTTCTGTGGTTTTGAGACTTAGTGCCCCCCAAATCAGGGCAATGCCTTGATCCTGGGCTTGGCTCCTCTACATCATGGATCCACCCTCTCGACAGAGTTTCATTGTCCAGGACTCCTCAGGTGGAGGTCTGTGATCTGGGCAGGGTCAGAAGGCCCAGCTCTTCAGGTGTGGGCAGGAAGTGTTTCTCATATCCAGAGTCAAGTGGGATGGGAGCCTCTGGAGGCTGGGGGGTTGGGGACATTGGAGTCTCTACTTCTTCCACGTCTAGGAAAAGGGCGTCCTTGGGAGGTGGAGCCTGGGGAAGCTCCTAGGGAAAATCATTGAAGAGGGAGGCATTAGTTCCTTCCTCCCCCACCAACTGGCCATTCCTCCCCTTTCCCATTGGGGCTCAATGTATGACAGACAGGGGGAGCTTGGTAGTTCAGAGAGGGGGAATTCAAATTCAAAGTTTATGGACTAGGAAGCCAGGCTCTCTCCTCTACTCACCTCTCCCCAAGGCTGCATGCTCTTGCTATTGGAGGGATCAGGGATCCTTTCAGAGACCCAATGGGGCAGAAACTTTTGACAGAGGCAGCTGACTCAGGCCAGGGAAAGAAGGTCAATGACACAGTTAAGGTGGTGACATGAAGGCACCTGAGCTCTCCACCCCAGGATACACTGTCCTCTAAGAAATCCAGAATTTCTCTGCCCCAGGGGCCCCATGGTACAAGCCACACTTTTTTTCCCCTCCCCTCTGGGAGTCCTGACCAGGACCTAGGCATCCAGTACCCTCACCACTTGGAGAACACCAAACCCAGGCAGCAACTCATCAATAACAAAACGCAGAACAGCAGAACATTCCACAGTATTTTCGACTCTTTCCAATTCTTCTCTAGGAGCAGAAGAAGGCAAGGATCAGATGTCAGGGCCCAGGGAAATGTGCTACCTAGCAGGTTCCCCTAAACCACCCTGCCCCCCCAACACACACACACACATACATACACACACACACACACACACACATACTTACCAAAAAGATCAGGGAAATAGGCTTCTTCTTTCTAATGCTTGCTAATAATGGCCTATCCCCACCCTCACCTCCAGTTATCTCCAAGGCCCCTAACATCCTGACTCCCCAGCAAAGCCAGGCATTCTAGCATCCAACAGCTGGTCCTTTTAAACCCAAAACCTCTGTTAAGAGCTAGGATTTACCATTCACCATCATCACCTGTCAGTACAATTATCCCTTCTACATCACGATTTTTCCCATCATGGTTTTGATATATCACAGGTCAGCATAAGAAATTAAAATTTTTTGTGAGTTTTGCAAAGGCCACAGATGACACAGAAAAAGTTTAGAAACTCAGAAACACATGTGTATAGTATTGTATAAGATAGCCTACGACCAAATATTCAATCCAAATTTTACAGTAAGGTACTGTAAACACCCCATAAAAGAAAAAGAAAAAAATTCAGACTTCCAGGAGGGCCAAAAAAAATTTTACCTGGATTTTCCAGATTACTGGGGCATTGCGCCCCTAACCCTTATGATGTGGAAGGTATAACTGTCATTCCCAAAGCCACCACCCCTTCCTTCTCCCAACAGGACCTGGGCCTCCTGTCTCCAGCATACGCACCAGGGAGGAAGAGTTGGAGGAGCTGGCCAGGCTGACCCAGGCCAGCAACAGTGGATGCTGTCACCCACATCTTATAGTATCCTCCAGGCAGGTCCCATAGGGTCACATTTAGGGTATCCGCGCTCACTAGAGGGACAGAGAAGATGTGGACAGAGTTGTCAGTGAGAGGAAGGTAGAGTGAAGGGGACTGATAAGGGTAAGATGGGTTCATTCTAGGGAGGCTTCCTGGAGGAAGCAGGCTCTGGGCCAGGTTCAGAAGCAGTGTGGAGCAATGGAAAGACCTCTATGCCAGGTGCCAGGAAACCTGGGTTTTAGTCCTGTTTCTGCACGAACTCACAGAGTGGCCTCGTGCTAATCCCTGCCCCTTTTCTGGGCTTCTGAGTTTCCTCATCTGTAAAACGAAAGAATTGGACTATAATCTCTCAAGCCCCACCTGGGTCTAATTCCTATGCTCCTGGACTCCTGTGCTTACTTGTGTGACCCTAGGCAAATTCTTTCCTTTTCATGGGCCTCAGTTTCCTTATCTGTAAAATGAGATGATATAGGTACCCTCTGAGGACCTTTCCAGAATTCTGTGATTCTGTGAGCAACATTGTAATAGGTAAGGAGAAGTCCCTGGGTGGCAGGTTCCAGAATTAGCCACAGTGGATTGGCCAGTGAGAGTTCACAAAGACTTCCTAGAGAAGGTGGAATATGAGGCTGGATTAGGGGCCAACATAGGGGGATGGAGAAGAAGAGGGTAGAGAGTTACCATTCAGAAGGGTGAGGGCTCCAGAGTCTGGCTGCACATACAGGGTATAGTGTGTGAAGTGTCCCCCACGTCGTCCTCTGGGGAGCTCAGCCCATGCTACAGTCAGTGCCCCACTGGCAGCATTCGGAATTTGCCACAGAACTGGCCCTTCTGGTGGTGCTGGGAAGAGTAAACATCAGAGGCTTTGCTTTGCTTTGCAACCCCTTCCCTAGGACCCGCATGCCACCACCCCTCCTCCTATGCCCCATCCCTATTCCTTTACCTATTTCCTGACTGTACCCCCAGACTGGAGTCGCAAAGGCCAGACCCTTCAGAGAGACACTACTCACGGTCACTCGGTATGGAACTCCTTTCTTGAAGTTTCCTTGGAAGAGAGGGAGGGGGCATGGGTCCAGAAAAACCATAGGGAAAGTCCACTCTACCCTTCTCTACCCCATCCCTCTGCCTGCTTCCCCCTGCCTATCACATCTTCTATTCTTCATCCCTTTTGCCTATGAGCCCCTCCTTTCCAGGGCTTCCCAGAACCATCTAATCTCACAGTTGTAGAGAACCTTGGAAGACATTGAGAACACTCCCACCTCTGACTAAGCCCATATCTCCTGCAACATCCTCTCAAAATGGTCAGTCATCAGGCCTAGAAATGGAAGACCCATTGCCCCCTGACACAGCCCACTCTGCTTTTGGACCACTCTCACCAGGAGGAAGTTTTCCTTAATATTAAGCCTACATCTGCAATCTCCACCAACCACCATGAAAGCCCTTTGAATGTGTAAAACTAGCTATTAGTCATTAAACTACTACTGCCCCCTTTACAAGTCTTCTCTTCTCCAAGCTCGGCATTCCCAAACTGATCTTATGATTTGATCCTGAGTCCTCTCACCATCCTGGTTGAACTCCTCGGGACATGCTGGATCCTGTCAAATGTCCTTCCTAAAATATGGGGTCCAGAACTGAACACAGTATTGGAAATGAGGTCTGAGTAGAGCAGAAGATAGTGGGATTATCACCCCTTTATTCTGGGCCCAGTGACACTCAATGCAGAGTCACTCTTTTGTACTGTATGACTGATTCCTTTTGAGTTTGCAGTTCACTGTGGACACTGGCTCTTTTTTTTTTAACCACTCCTAACTCATGTTTTCACCATGACACAATTCTTTCCTGTCCATCTGTCTATCAGTCTGTAGAACCCTTCAGCAGCTTGGAGGGAGGACTGAGGCATCCCTTCAGCCTGATTGGTTCCTTAATTCACCTCTCAGCAGTGTGCTGTGACTCCCATTTGGCAGACGGGTCCAGTTGAGCTCCTGGAGAGATGTCTCTTCTTTGGTCCACTCCACTATAAACTCCTGGTGTTCCTGTGGCTCTGGTACCCATGTGACCAACATCCCCTGATTTCCCATGCTGTTTACTTGGACCCTCTTAGGAGCAGAACCTGGGGACAGGTGTGAACCAGGAGGCTTGGTGCCCCAGCTACCAACACAGTAGGGGAGTCAGGGCCTAGTCCACCTCTTCCCCGGCCCCTCCATTTCATTTCTGCTTCTTCAACTCTCGTCCATTGAGTCCCTCATTGATATCTACTATTTCTGCATGGCCTTTCCCCCCAAATGACAGAATCTCAGAGATGGAAGACATGTCTACATTCATCTGTTTCAAACTACATCTTAACATATCTTGACAATATCCCTCATTGGTCAGTAGGTAGAACACTTCCAGTGATGGGGAACTCATTTCTTCCAGAAGCAATGCACCCCTACTCTGGGATAGTTAGGACCACCCAGAGCCAGGATGGCCTCACCATCCCTCCCTGATACTTCCTGGAGGAAGCTCACAGTGCCTTACCTGAACAGGCCAGGGTTAGGTTGGATGGATGCCCCTGGCCAGTAATATTGAAGGCCACTACTGATACCCACTCTGTGTCTTTGGGAAGGATGGTACTGCAGCAGGGTTTGACCATAAGGTGAAGGTCTCCACCTCGTACCTGGAACACCACCTTATAGCTCAGCCCCAACCCAGGCATGAGGTCCTAAGCCAGGAAGAGAAGGGATTAATGTGTCATGAGGGGGATCAGCATTCATTCAATGTCCATTAATAAAGTGTCTGCTGTATATGAAGGCCTGTGCTGAGTGCTAAGCCACTTTGGAAGGACGGGATTCAAAGTCTAGCTTAGATTGCTGGACTTGGAGTCAGGAGGCCTGAGCTCAGGTCTTGATTCTGCCATTAATGCTGGACCACCCTCGGCTGGTCACCCCCCACCCCCACCTTGGTTTACTCATCTGCAATGAGGAAATAATATATCTTGTACCACCTTCCTTGCAGGGTTGTTAGAAGAAGAAGGCTTTTAAAATCCATTAATATACTAAGACAAGAGTTCCTACCCTCCCCAGCCCATAGTCTAGGAAAAGGACATTCCCTTATATTAGAATATTTGAACCCTTTAAGGTTGACAAGTATCAAAGGACATCGAGGACCAGGATGGGGAACAGTCTCTCTCAAAGTCACATAGCTACTCAGCGGCCAGAATAAATGACTTGAACTCAGGTCCCTGACCATCAAGTCCATCACACTTTCAATTATATTATGCTGCCCCAGTTGGGACTCAGGAAACTAAGTCCAAGTTCTCTCTTTCTCAGACTCTGTGGATCTATCTTCCCCTTCCCATCCCATCTCCCATGCCTAAGCTATAGCTCCCTCTGGCCTGGGGCCCAGGCACACCCTCAAGGAACACCCCCAGACCCCAGGTCACCTTCCATAGCAAAACATAGGACTCTTCTTGAGGATGTGGGTCACTGCAAGGCAACCCAAAGACCCACACGTCCACCTGGCCGGTTGGGGCTAAACAGAAGCACAAGGATAGAGAAGGGTGGAGTGAGAAACTCTTCCAGGTGCTAAGAAGGGGAGGGGAGATGGTGGAGACATATGAGCACCCAGGACTTGGGTCTCCCAGCCCTAAGAGAGGAAAGGACTTACCAGCTGGGAGGCTTTGGAATTTCAGGGTGGGGCTCCAGTCACTCCAAAAGCCCATATTGTTTTGCAGTTGGGAGCGGGAGGATACCTCATAAACCGTGGCTGGCTTTAAGCCCTGAAGCTCCAGAAAGGATGAGGTTGATAAATCTCTAGGCTCTGCCTGAGGGAGAGATGAGGAGAGGTAATAACCCCCATGGGTGAGAAATAGCTCCCATAGGTCCTGTAATAACCTCTATGGATCTATAGAATAATATACTATATAATAATATAATATTCTATAATACAATACATAGAATAATATCCAATAGGCCTGTATTATTACATGTAATTACTCTCATGGGTCACACAATACCTGCCATGGGCCATATAATAATCTCAGTGGGCCCACTTAACATATGATTATCCCATGGGAAGCCTTATGAAGTGATACAGAATGAAGACAGCCTTGTGGTATATGATTGTAATGGAGTACTATTGTGATCCATGAAATGACGAGGGGGAGAATTTCAGAAAAACATGGCAAGACCTATATGAACTGATGCAAAGTGAAGTGAGAAGAACCCGAAGATCATTGTACACAGCAATACCATAATAATGAACAATTGTGAAAGACTTGGTTTACTCTGATCAATACAATGATCCAAGATATCTCCAAAGGACTTATGATGAAAAAATCCTCTCCACCTCCAGAGAGAGAGCTGATGAACTCTGAGAACAAGCTGAAGTATAATTTTCTTTTTATTTTTCTTGCTTTTTTTCCCAACATAGCTAACACAGAAATTTGTTTTGCATGATTTCACATGTATAATTGATTTTCATTTTGCTTGCCTTCTCAGTGGGTGGGGGAGGGGGTGGGAGGGAGAGAGAGAATCTGGAACTCAAAATTTAAAGAGAAAAGACTGTTAAAAAATGAGTAAATAATAAAATAAAATATTTTTTTAAAAGAATGAAGACAGCCAAACCAATATAGTAATAATAACTACCACCATTTATGCTGGGCTTTAAGGTTTACAAAGTACTTTAGATAATACCTGGGCAGCTCATGTCATTTTTCTGAAGGATTATCAAAGTGCCTGCCATTTTCAGAAGGGGATGGGGGGGGAGAGAGGATGGGAGAAAATTTTGGAACTCAAAATCTTATAAAGATGAATGCTAAAAATTTGCTTGACCATGTAACTGGGAAAAAAATGAAATACTATTAAACTAATTTCTCGGAAAGTTCTTTATTGACAAAATGAGGGGTTGAATTAGGCAGCTTTTTAGACCCCTCCTAGCTCCAAGTTCTATGCTTCTAGGGTCTTGATTGATTCTTGCCCAACATTATAGGCATCATCATATCTTTATTTTTACAGATACGGAAATTAAGGCTCAGAAAGGTCATCCATGGTCACACAACTAGTAAGTGTCAGAGTGAAGATCTGAACCCAAGTTGCTCTTGACCCCAAGTCCCGTGCTGACCACACAGCCCCTTCCCATGGTTCATAATGATGAAATTAAGGCAATAACAGCAACAAAATCCATGCTAAATAAATCACCAAAATGTTCAAAACAAGGAAGGTGATTTGACTATTATCACATTAAAGGTAATATACACTTCTTTTGTTCTGGGATTAACAGCTGAGACATAACAGAAGGTGTTCAAGTTGGTCATGGGCTCAGGGGCCAGGGTGCTTACCTGATTCCTGGGTAGCCTGAACACCTGCAGGCTGCCAGGCAGGCCCTGAGGTGGCACAGTGGGGCACACTGTGGATAAAACACAGGCCCTGGAATCAAGAGGACCTGAGTTCAAACAGTGTCTCAAACACTCACTAGCTGTGTGACCCGGGGGAAAGTCACTTAACCCATGATAGCCGAGAGACAGAGAGAAAGAGAAAGAGAGAAAGAGAGAAATAACAGAAGTTCCCAAACATATATAGTAATTTATAATCTCTTTTTTATTCTAGTTTTGTTTCTTTTTCTTTTTTTTAAAGACTAAACAGGCTTTATTATGAACTCCAAAGCAAAATTTTAGAAACATAGACTCCAGGGGCAATGAGAATTTAGAAAACACTCTTTTTTTTTAAATAAGAATAAACTCAGTCTCCATAGAAACTGTCAAAAATTGCCAATGCTAACTATACGTCAAGCCATCACAGTGGGGTACTAGGAAGAGTTTTCGATTTGCAGTAATCTCACCTTGGATAAACCTCATTGGCTACAATATCACCACTGTGCAAAGCTTTTGTTCTTACTTATATGCGAGTGGTAACAGCAGAATAGCCAGAGACAAACTGGGCTCAATATGATACATATTGGCTGTGTGACATTGGGCAAGTCCCTTGACCTCTTGGCTCACCAGGCAACTCTCTAAGACTACGAGGTGCTTAGTAGCTGGTGACCTGCATTGATAGAGGGAATTTTCTCACTAGGAGCTCCTGACAACAAGGAAATCACAAGTCTGGAACTTTATCATCTATCAATTTTTAAATCTCTGTTATAAACATACAGTATGTATTTGTTGTTGTTTACTTGTGTCTAACTCTTCATGATCCCATTGGGAGTTTTCTTGGCAAAGATACTAGACTGGTTTGCCATGTCCTATTCTTGCTCATTTTAGAGATGAAGAAACTGAGGTAAACAGGGTGAAGTGACTTGCCCAGGGTCACACAGCTAAGAAGTGTCTGAGGCCAGATTTGAACTCAGGAAGATGAGTCTTCCTGACTCCAGGCCCAGTGTTCTATCACACTGCGCCACCTAGCAACTCCATAATACCTATGTGTGTGTGTACATGTGTGTATATCTATTTATATTTTTATATATTACATATACATATATATATATATATACATTTAAATACTATTTTTCAATGAAAGTTAAAATAAAATGGATTTTTAAATTAATAGTAGCCTTCATGAGCCACATAACAAACCCCACTGGGCTTTGTCATTCCCCACAAGCCATGGAATAACTTCCATGTGCCACGTAAAAATCCCCATGAGGCCCCGTAAGGAGCAGAAGCCCAGAATCTTTGCGGTGGACAGAAACTCAGAGGTGGCCCAGTCCAATCTCTCCCTGAATAAGAATGTCCTCTACCCCATACTAGTTAAGTTCAGCCTTTAATGGTGACCTCACTACCTCCCAAGGCAGTTGGCCACAGAAGCAATAAACATTTATTAAATTCCTAATCTGTGCTAAGTGCTGGGGATACAAAAAAGAGGCAAAAGGCAATCCTTGCCCTCAAGGAGTGCACAATCTAAATGGGGGGTGGGGGAGAGACAACAAGCAAACTCTGTACAGGATAAATAGGAAATGATCCACAGATAGAGTACATACCTCCTACAGGGGATACGCTAGAATCGAGGGATTGGAGAAGGCTTCTTGTAGAAGGTGGGGTTTTGGTTGGGACTTGAAGGAGTTGGAGATGAAGAGGGAGAGCATTCCAGGCAAAGCCTCCTCCACTCTGACTACTGACCTCCCTGGATTTCTTTAAGTCCCAGATAATATCTCTCAGACAGCCAAAGAAAATGTTCAGAGCCAAGAGATGGAGTGTCTTGTTCATGGAGAAGCAAAGAGGCAGAACATCACATCTTTGTCTGCTTCTAGTTGTTGGGAAATTCTTCCTTGTAGTGAACTGAAATCTGCTTCTCCATAACACCCACCCCCCATTTCTCCCAGTTCTAGCCTCTGGGACCGAATGGCTAAAGTCCAATCACTCATCCACATAAGCATACCCCTCACATACTGTAAGAAAACTTTTTTTTCCTCCTAGGTTTCTTGTCTTGTATCTCTGACTGCCCTTACCATCGCCTCCCTTCCATCAACTTTCTCTTACCTTCAATAGCTCTGCACTACTGGCTCCTATGTCACCTACAAGTAATCCTGTGATTTTCCCTTCCTTAGTAAACCTTTGCACGACCCTACCAGTCCCTTCAGGTAATATCCTTTATCTCTCTTCTTTTTCACAGCCAAACTCCTAGAAAAAGCTATCTAGACTCATTGCCTTCACTTCCTTTACTTTTCAATTCTTTCCAATCTATTTTCAGACCTCAACTTTCATTCAAATGAAAGTGATCTCTCCAATGTTAAAGGATGTCTTTAAAACAAAAAAGATTTTTATATTTTTACATCACCTATATTTCCCCCATATCCCTCTTCTTCTCCCCTCCCAGAGAGCCATTCCTTATAACATTTTTTTAAAGGAAGAAGAAAAACAAATCCCTAGCAAAACTAATCAGTATGTTGAAAAGATATGATATGCATTATGACACACCCACGGACCCCTTGCCGCAGCAAAGGAATTCGTGGAAAACTGGCATCAATTCTAGAATGTTTGCACGTGCTCCAAATCCAGAGCAGGGTACTTCCATCATACTTTGCAGAAGCAGGCTGTCCAGCTTCTTCTACTTGGTAATTGTCCCTTATTACACGGATGGAGATATTAGCCACTACTCTTTGGGGCTAGTCATTCAGCCTAACCTAAATCTTCAGAATTATTTTATAATCTAGCCCATCTCTCTCTCCCTATCACAGACATGTGGTCTTGACTATTCTGGGTCTGATCATGTCATCCCCTCCCCTTACTCCACAAACTCCAGTGGCTCTCTATTCCCTCTGGGATCAAACACAAAATGTTCTGTTTGGCATTCAAAGCTCTTCATAACCTAGTCCCCATCTACTTTTCCAGTCTTCTTATACTTTCTGTACTTTTCAATCCAGTAACACTGGCCTCCCAGCTGTTCTATAAACAAGACACTCATCTCTTGGCTCCCAGCATTTTCTTTGGCTTTCCCCCAAGCCTGGAATGTTCTTCCTTCTCCACTCTTGACCTCCCTGGCTTTCTTTAAGTCCCAGATAATATCTCCCAAATAATATCCCATCTTTTACTGGAAGCTTTCCCCAACTCCTCTTAATTCTAATGCCTTCCATCTGTTATTTCCTATTTATCCTGTATATGGCCACTAGATGGCGCAGTGGATAGAGTACTGGGCCTTGAGTCAGGATGACTCATCTTCATGAGTTCAAATCTGGCCTCAGACACTTACTTAGCTGTATGACCTGGGCAAGTCATTTAACCGTGTGTACCTCAGTTTCCTTATCTTGAAAATGAGCTGGAGAAGGAAATGACAAACCACTCCAGTATCTTTACCAAGAAAACCCCACATGGGGTCATGAAGAGTGAGACATGACTGAACAACAACATTTATATAGCTTGCTTTGTATATATTAGTTTGCACATTGTCTCACCTATTAGACTGTAAGCTACTTGAGGTCAGGGACTGCCCTTTGTCTCTTTTTGTATCCCAGCACTTAGCACTGTGCCTGGTACATAGGAGGTGCTTAATAAATGTTTATTGATTAACTGATGGACATAGTCACATGCAGTCATTGGTTAATCCTATCCAGAGCCTGCTTATAATGGAAGTAGCATGGTATGATATAAAGAGAACCCAGAAGATTTGGGTTCAAATTTGGATTCTGCCACTTACTGTTTGTGTGACCTTGGGCAAATCATTTCCCTTCCCTGTGTTTCTTCATCTGCAAAATGGGGCTAATGATAATAGTACCTACCTCCTAGAGCTATTAGGAGGATCATTTGAGTTAACATATGTAAAGTGATTTGCAAACATTAAAGTACCATATAAATACTAATTATGAGCATTATTACTATTATCTGGAAAGTCAAACTCAAGATGGCCTTTGGAAGTTTGGGAGATGTGACTCACATATTGCCATATTGAAGCAGAGATGTCCCGGAAGCGAAGCTGATACTTGAAATTTTCATGGGGAGGCCAGGTCGGGGCAGCCCAAGTCACAGTGACCACTGTGGGGTCATCAGAGAACTCTACTTCATGAGATAGCTCTGGTGGCTCAGGCTTCACTGTGGAAGAGAAAAAAGCAATGTCCCTGTGGGCCCCAGGGTCCCCCAAGCTGCCACTCTCCAGACAGGCACCCCCGCCTCTGGGAGTACCTATGGAATCCAGATACAAGTTTAGTGGCTCCGGGTCTCCAGGCTGGGAAGTGTTGTCCTTTGGGCTCAGCCATACACGGTACTGATCAGAGACAGTGAGATGCTCCCGTTCCACAATGATCCAACTCTGGCCTTTGGGCACTGTGATATTTTGGATCCTGTGAGGGTGGCTGGTGAAGGAGAAAACAGAAAGACTGTAGAGGAGGCAGGGCACAGCAAGCTAGAAGCACTATAGCACTGGACTCCTGTCCTCTCATTTGACAGGAGAGAAGTTATAGGATCATATGCTTAGAGCTAGAAGGGGCCTCAGACAGCTAGGTGGCGCAATGGATAGAGCACTGACCCTGAAGTCAGGAGGATCAGAGTTCAAATCTGGCCTCAGACCAAACACCTGACACTTGCTAGCTAGTGTGACTCTGGGCAAGTCACTTAACCCCAAATGCCTTAAAAAAAAAAAAAAGAAGGGGCCTCTGAGGCAATTCACTTAAACCTCTCCATTTTACAAAGGAGGAAGTTGAGGCCTGAGGAGATTAAATTATTTGCCCAAGATGATATTTAATAAGCTTCAAAGGCAAGATTTGAAGCCAGGTCCTCCCATTCCCCAGCCGGGGCTCTTTCCAATGCACCACATTTCTCTTCATGAAGGGACAGACGGTCACGTGGAGGAGGAAGTATGGTTAGGGGGTGGGACCCAAAAGCGGCCATTTCTGTGGTGCTGTTGGAGGAAGGGATGTGGGGGAGGAGGTAGAAAAGTCACATTTTACTCACTACTTTAAGCTCTGGTAGTAGAAGTTATAAGGAATGCCAGGGTCCAAGCTGCGTTCCCAGGTACAGTTCATGTGCCCCTTGGGTCTCACACAGTAGCACTGGAGTTGATGGAGTGGAGCTGAGGAGGACAGGGATCCCTGGTCAGCATGCTGCCCTGTTCCAGGAAACCCAGAGAGAGCTAGTCACGTTATTCCCTTCCCCCCCCCCCCCCCCCCCCCCCCCGCAAGCCTGAGGCTCCTCATTTCCCCCATGGTCAAGATCAACCTCTGCTGTCTGGCCTTTCCAACCTCGTCTCCTGTCCTGCCCCTCTACTCACTTTCCACTCCCCTCCTCACACTCCAGCCAAACTACTGGCCTCCCTGACCCCCCAGTTACACTCACCACTCTCCTGGCTCATGTTTTCCCCCATGTCTGGAGTATTCTCTCTCTCCCTCTTTTATCTGCTTAATTCCCAGAGTCTTTTAAAGTCCAACTCACAGAATGTCAGACCTGAAAGGGATTATTGGATCCAATCTTCTCATTTCATAAAAGAAGATACTGAAGCCAGAGAGGGCTCAAGTCCAGCAGCTGGTCAGTGGCAGGGATGGGAGGCACCCCAAGTCATCTGTTTTTGAACTCTTTTCTATAGACCTCCCTGACTTCCCATTTCTTCCTGGAAGCCCCTGAATTCTTTGGTTTGACTCAATAATGGCCTTCTTCTGGGTTTACAAGTATTACTTCTTTTCTACCTCTCTGATCATGTAATCATGAAGAGTATAAAGCCTCATAAAGTAGTGTCCTGGTGCTTTGAGATTGGCAAAGCACTTTCCTCATGACTATCCTGTAAGTGAAGCAATGTAAATACTTTCATCCCCATTTTACAGAGGATGAAACTAAGACTGAGAGATAAAACTACTCAGCAATACTAAGTGAAATTTTTACACTGAAGTTCACAAATCACTTTATATACATTCTCTAGTTCATTCTTCCCAACAACCCTGGGAGGTAGGGACTATAGGTATTACCTGTACATTTTAGAGATAAAGAAGAAACTGAAGTTCAGAGAGGTCCAGTGATTTGCCCATGGTCCCCACTGCTAGTGAGGAAGTGTCTGAGCCAGGATTCCAATTCAGGTTTCAACTAAGTCTTGAATTTTTTTTTACACTTGGCATGTGCCCCCTGCACTAGCAGCAATCTCGAAGAACTCAAGGGATATGTTTTATCAGAATTTCCTAGTTTACCCAGGGACCAGCACAAGCTCTGCACAGAGACAGTTTAATAAATATCATTTGAATGACCAGCCTTCCAGCTTCTGCCACACCAGGGGCTGGGGCCTTACTTAGGTGCCCAGAGCTCTCCCAACCCTCCCTCCTCCCTTGCTAAGCTGAGTACATCTCATCCACCAGCTCTCCTACATCCCTTGTGGGGCCCTGAGGAGTTAGCTTCCCAGCCTCTGGGGGGTTGGGGGGGGGATAGAAAGAGAAGGCAAGAAGGATCCCACCCAGCATTTGCCTGAGGCTCAGCAAGAAGGGAGGGGTCTTCCAGGGCCACCGGAGCTGGGTGAACAGCCCAGGGGCATGGAAGATTATAGAGCCGTTAATCACTCACCCTCTGGGACATCCAGAGACCTCACTGGCAAAGTCAGCAACAGCCACAGCATTAGCAGCAGCTTTGGTGGTAGTGGCTGCATCAGGAACAGAGGGAAGCTGGTGCCTGGAGTCCAGTTGAACCCAAGTGCCTCCATGGTGGCCCCTCTCTGGCTCCCTGTGCTCCCTCCAGTTAACCCAGACTTGGGGCAGAAAGTCCCAGATCGTGGGAGGGAGGTGTGCCACAACTGAAGGGCCTATGAAGATGAACGTTTTTCTGAGGGGAACTGAGGCAGAAGGGAAGTGTGCCCCTCAGCTGGGGGGGTGGGGAGAATGGGTGCTGGTCGACCATCCACCCCTACAATGACCTACACACACACACACACACACAAAGTTATTCTGAGTTTTATTGAGACTTTGAGAGAGCTTGGACCAGGGCCAACCCACATCCTGAACCCAGGCATCCGGCCTCCCAGCCCCAGCCACCCACCCTTTCCCCATCCCCCACAGTGAGTACAGAATAGCAACTGTCTGTCGATTGCCTGCATGACTGAATGATTGTGGGTGTAGAGTAATGTAGGTATCACTGTGTGTGGTGTGGTTGTGAGTATTCACAATCACAAGTGGGCCGATCCCAGGTTGCAACTATGGGAATATATCTGAGTTCCTGTCCAGCTTTAATCTATGATCCTATAAATCTGTATGACAATTTTTTTCCCTAGACCAGAAATTAGTGACTTAGGAGAGCTCTCTATGACCACCCCCACAATCGATGTCCTCCTGGTACCCACAATAACAGCAGAAGGGTGATGGGTGGGGTGAATTAGGCAGGGTCCATTTCCCCAGGCTCCATTTCCCAAACAGCTCAAGGACCAGGCAGAGGAGAGGGGCAAAGTTGAGGGGACAGTACATACAGATCTAGGGCTGGAGCGGGGGCAGTCTGAAGAAGAGAATAAGGGGCAGAGAGAAAGAGGAGGGCCCTGGAATCTCACACCAGAAAGGAAGGTAGAGCAGAGAGAGGGAAGGGAAGGGAACCCCAGTCTAGCACTGGAAAATGAAGTGAGGGAAGAACAAAGTAGGGACAAGAGTGAGAGGGAAGACCTAGAGTGTGGCCCCTGGAGGGGCAGAGGGCAGGGGGACCTGGAGTCTAGAACCAGGAGGAGTAGAAGGGGGAAGGTCATTCAGCACAGGCTGCTGATCTCAGTCTTGCTACAGCCCCACTTGCAGCAGTTGCTGGAGACACCTGCCAGAACATCCCGACCACCTCGAAGGAAGCCCTGGCCAGACCTGGCCTCAGGCTCTGACTCTGACGGGCTCCTGGACATCCTGGACCAGCTGGGGCCTCCCACGCTGCTGTAAAAGTCTTCAGGCTCCCTGGACAGTGGCAAGAGGGGGCTGGACAGCCATTCAATCGAAGTGGTCTCCTGGGACTCACCCCCCAGCTCCTCAGTAAAGGCATCCCCTGGAAAAAAAGAGTAACACATTATAGCTTCTTGAATTTCTCCCGTGAATGGGCTACCTTAGTCCCTTAGCTGCCTCACACTTCCTTCCCCAACAAAGGGATTTAGAAACTCCCAGCTTGTGCCTCTCATCCCCGCCTGGGGGCCCTCTGGGTTTTGAGTGCATCTCCTTTCTCCCCAGGACAGGACAATGTCTTACATTTGCCTGTCTGACCCCCCACAGAGCCCTTAAATGTGAGTGGAAGTGTAATGCCAACAGTTCACGTTTCAATGTCTGTTCCCTCATCAATAAAACGAGTTTGGATGAGATGCTCTCTAAGGTGTCCTCTGGCTGCGTCCCTGATCTGGATGTCAATCCTGTCTCTGACATAGACTCGCCATGTGACCCGGCGTGAATTCCAGTCTGCTCTCTGAGCCTGAGTTTCCTCATCTGTAAAATGAGAGGACTAGATCGGTAGCCTTCCAGTTCTGACTCTGATCCCTGGCTATCCCTGGTTCAGCCTGAAGAAGCCCCCACCCCAGCACCCCGTGTTTTGTTTGGGCTTTCGCTTGACTCCGGGTCTTTGTTCCCCCCAGGCGCCCTTCCCTTCCCACTACTCACCTGCCCTAGCCCTTCTCCATCGAGATCCCCCACAGGTAAAGATGACAGCCCGGATGAACTCTCGGCCACACAGCTTTACTGCATAGGGAGATGTCCGGCCCTCGGCTGCCGGCAGATCCCCCAGCAAAGCCCACAGTACTAGGAGCAGCAAACCCTTGGGCATGGTGGACCAGAGGCAATGACTGCTGGGGAGAAACACCTGCCTGGAGCCAGAGCACAATGTCAGGCCTAGCTGCCTTTTTCCATCCCTGCTTCTGCCTCCCCATTTATAGCCAAGTGCTGTAAGATAAGATATGACCTCTCTTATCTCCTCCAGCTAGCAGCAGGACCAGTGTCTGTCTCCTCGACCCCTCTATTCCCAGGGAAGTCATCTGGGCTTAGTGATAACCTTTCCCCAGCGATGAGGGGAGGCTTGGGGAAGGGCAGATGATCAGGCAGGGACAGGGAAGGCGGGAGACTGAAGAGGATATGTGTCACTGACATTGCTGCGGATGAGGAAAATAACTGGACTTCCAACTTGGAGCCAAGGAGCTTGAATCCTTCTGCTGGGAAAAACACTCACATAGGATTTAGAACAAGATGGAATCTCAGAAACCATGTAATCTAATCCCCTCATTTCAGATGAAGAAACCAAAGCCTAGAAAGAAGTGATTTTAGTTCAGTTCAATTCAGTGAACAGTAGGCCCCTGCCATGTAGAACTCAAAGAGTTTGGAGCTGTACATGCAAAGGTAAAAATAAGAAAGTCTCTTATCTCAAAAATGTTACACTGTACTTACTGAATGTGGGAGGAGATATATAAACAAGTAAATATAGTATGAGGAAACTTGAGGAGGGAGTGAACACAAATAAATGGTGGAGATTGAGGGAATTTCCAGAGGAATCGAGCCTTAAAGAAAGAAAAGGCAGAGGATGTAAATCATTCTAAATATGGGAAATGGCTTGTGCAAATGCATGGAGGCAAGAGGTGGAGGATGGAGTTGGGTGAATAGTAGTCCAGATTGGCTGGGATGTGAAGCCCATGAAATGTGGTACTAGGAAATATGACTGGAAAGGTGGGTGGGCACCAGGCTGTGGAAGACCTTAAATACCAAGAGATAACACATGGAAAGCATTCTGCAAACATTAAACTGCTGTACGAATGTTAGTTATTATTAATTAGGAGAGGAGAGGCCCAAAAGGGCTCTGAGATCACATAGCTAGAAAGCATCAGGATTCTAATTCAGTTTTCTGCCTCCAACTAAGTATTCTTTCCATTACCAAGGGGGAAGAGAGAGAGAGAGAGAGAGAGAGAGAGAGAGAGAGAGAGAGAGAGAGAGAGAGAGAGAGAGAGAGAGAGAGAGTGAGAGAGAGAGTGAGAGAGAGAGAGTGAGAGAGAGAGAGAGAGATAAAGAGAGACAGAGAGAGAGAGAGAGAGAGAGAGAGAGAGAGAGTGAGAGAGAGAGAGAGAGAGAGAGAGAGAGAGTGAGAGAGAGGGAGAGAGGGAGAGAGAGAGGGAGAGAGAGAGAGAGAGACAGAGACAGAGAGAGAGAGAGACAGAGACAGAGACAGAGAGAGAGAGAGAGACAGAGAGAGAGAGACAGAGAGAGAACCAAATACAGCAAGGTCCAGGGACTTATAAATGGAACTGAGACTCAGGGAAACATAAACAGAAGTTGTGAGGATCTACGAGAAGCAAGGCTAAGGGGAACAGAGCCAGGGGAATTCAAGGGATCATAGGACCTAAAAGATAAATGAGTCACTCAGTTAATAAACATTTATTAAGCACATACTATGTGCCAGACTATGCTAAGTGCTAGGGATACAGAGAAAGATAAAAGATAGTCCCTAACCTCCAGGAGATCACAATCTAATGGGAGAGAGACATGTAAACAACTATATACAAACAAGCTATGCATAGGAAATAATCAACAAAGGGGAGGTAACACAATTAAGAGGGGATACAAAAAGCTTCTGGTAGATGGTGGGATTTTAGCTGGGACTTGACTGAGTGCAGGATAGACTGGAATAGGAGGAGACTTATGGTAGGCAGACCAACCAGAAATCTATTGCCATAGTCCAGGAGTGAGGAGATGAGGGCCTGCACCATGGTGGTAGCAGTATTCCAGGAGAGAAGAGGGCATTTTGGAGGGATGTTACAGAGGTAAAAATCAACAGGTCTTGGCAACAGATTAAAGGTGAGGGATGAGAGTGAAGAGTCAAGGATGACGCTTAGGTTGCAAGCATGGTAGACTAGTGACAGTATTAGGGAAATTTGGAAAGGGGGAGATTTTAGGGGGAAAGATTATGAGTTTAGCTTTGGACATGTTGAGTTTAAGATGTTTACAAGACATCCAGTACAAGATGGAGATTATGAGAGAGGTTAGGGACAGATAATTGGATTTAAGAATCATCCGCATAGAGATGATAATTGAATCAATGAGATCACCAAGTGAAATAGTAAAGAGTAGAGAGGAGAACCTAAGGCAGATCCTTGTTAGTAGGCATGACTCAATCACTGCATTATACAATTTACAGAACAGGAATCTCAGAAATGGAAGGGACCACAGGGGTCATCTTGTCCTGTACCTGAGCACTACTCTCTACTCCAAGTAAGATATCTAGCCTTTGGGAAGACTACCTCTAGGGACAACCCATTCCAGTTGTGGGCAGCTCTAATTGTTCCATCAAGCCTCAGCTGGCCTTCCATCGACTTCCATGCATTGTTCCTAGCTCCACTCTCTGAGGCCAAGGAGAACAAGCGCAGTCTTCCTCCCATGGAACAGCCCTTCAGCTATTATCTTTCTGTTAATTGTGTCTTTCTCTAGTGTTAACCTATTTCCTTCTAATTATCCTTTTATGGAAGAGTCCTCAGTCACTGCACCAACCTATTCATTCTGTTTTGGGCATGCTCCAAGCATGGGGCTTTGGTGCAGCCAAGACTAAACGCTATGGTACTATTTCCTTTGTATGAACACTACTTTCCTTGGACGGCTAGGTGGCGCTGTGGCTAGAACATGGGCCTTTAAGTTCAAAGCCAGCTTCAGCTATTTCAAGTTCCATGACCTTGGGCAGCTCACTTAATCTTTGTCCCTCAGTTTCCTCATCTGTAAAATGATGATAATAAAAGTACCTACCTCTCAGAATTGTTATGAAGACAAGTTAGTATTTGCAAAGTGTTTTGCAAAGTTTAAAGTGCTATATAAAAGCTAGCTACTATTTTCTAAATGCCACCTATGACTGAGTTAGCTTCTTTTGACTGCCCTGTCCCATACTGAGTTTTCAGCCCATGAACACCTCCAGATCTTTTTCATGTAAACTGTTTTCCAGCCACACTTTTCCCATCCATTACTTGCGCAGGTGATTTCTTTTTAATCTAAGTGAAGGATTTAAAATTTATCTAAATTTAATTTCATCTTATTGGATATGGTCCCTCATTCAAGCTGCCAAAAATCTTTTTAGATCCAGACTGTCATATAGTATATTAGCTATCTTTAGCTTTGGGTCATCGGAAATTGGATTTAAAATGTCATGTATGCCTTCATCCAAGTCATTGAGAAATGTCAAACAGCTCAGGACCAAAGACATCTAGATGGTCCCTGAGGCACTCCTTTCTAAGCTGACATCAACTAATTAATGACTCACCCTTTGAGTCTGGTCATTCAATCAATTTAGAATCTACCCAGCTGTACTCTCACCTAACTCATATTTTTCCATCTCACTCATGAGGACGACATGAGGGAAATTCTGCTTTTCTGATATTATTTCTCTAACGTGTCATTGATCTGCCAGCCTAGAAACCTGTCAAAAAAGGAAAGCTTTTGTCATCTGACATGACCTCTTCTTCTTTGTAAAGTTGTACTGCCTTTTTCTTTTCTATCACAGCAATTTCTAGGATATAACTCATCTCCTCCCCCTCTGAATCTTTTGTAAAAAGGGGAAAAATAATCTAGCAACTGAATCTGATAAATTATTCAAAATTCTGTACCAATTGTCTCCCATCTTTATGGAGACCTATGAACCTATTTTCTCTCCAGGGACAAGATTAGCATGACCTGGGGTAAAACACTGCAAGTTAGGGCTATGGGGTTCATATCAAGACTCAAACACTGATCTGTCTCCTTCCTCTGGGCCTCAGTTGCTTTCTCTGAAAATCATGGGTCTTGGGTTCAGAAGGGGCCCAGATTTGAGTTCTGTGCATAAGGTATGTGTGGTTGGTAGCTGTCTAAATCTATATATGGCTTGAACAGCTCTGCTTGAAATGTGGCATAGATATTCTAATCTGGGATCTGGCCCACCCCCCTCCCTCTCTCTCTCTCTCTCTCTTTCAATTTTGGAGGTAATGGGGATTAAGTGACTTGCCCAGGGTCACACACCTTAGTATCTGAGGCCAGATTTGAACTCAGGTCCTCCTGACTCCAAGGCTGGTGCTCTGTCCACTGTGCCACCTAGCTGCCCCCTTGCCCACGTCTCTAAAAGAGAGCTGGAGATTTCCACATTTGTGGGGGAGCGGGAGTGGGGCAGTGGCTGGCCATTTGCTCTTTCCCTCACTTAAACCCAGAAGGGATATTGAGCTAGAATTATATCTCTCTACCACAACTCAAGTATTGGTAGTCTAGGGGTATGATACTTTGGGGCCCACTTTCTCTGATCACTCTTCTCAAGGGGAAGGTAGCACTTAGCTTATTGTTTTTACCAACTTAGCTCTTACCAAAAGCTGGTTACAGAAAAGACCATCATGAATAAGCTAGTACATTTCTTTATCAAAGTAAACAGCTAACAAAAATTAGGGGAGCTATACAGATTAATAATAATAGCTAGCATTTATATGGTGCTTTAAGGTTTGCAAAGCACTTTACAAATATTATGTTAGGTAGAAAGAGAATAGATCAAAGAATAAACAAGATTTAATCAGCTCTTCAGCTGGAAGTGAAATAAGAGCTCAGCTCAACCAAGGAGAGAAGTCATCTCACCAAGGGGATTTCCAGTCATTTTAGTCTCTAAGATTGTAAACTCTGAAAGTCAAGTGACATGATGGGAGGCCTGAGGGCTCCAGAGAGATTTCCAGTCCTCTGATGGCCTCTCCTGTCCTCCAAGAAACTGAAGGCACATCTCTTCACCCAGGTGCATAGAACTCAACCAAAGGGCTTGTTCCTTTAAAAAACAAAACAAAACACCCCAGGTATGGGCAGAGGTGTTAGCTATGAAAAGTGAAAATTTTAATTCAGTTCAATTATTAAGTAACTACTTGTGCCAAATACTGTGCTGGGTACCCAGAATACGAAGATGAACCAAGGGCTATGCCTATTTTCAAGGAACTGACAAGTCATATACATCTATATGGCATGCATCATCAGACACACGCCAATACAAGGCAGCCTGAGGTAAGTAAAAATCAATCGACATTTATTAAGTACCTACTCTGTGCCAGGCACTGTGCCTAACACTTAGGATGCAAAAAGAGGCAAAAGACAGTCCCCGCCCTCCAGAAGCTTACAATCTAATGGGAAAAGGAGAAGTCCAGCGAACTGTGAGGCTGAGAAGGGAAGAGTCAATGGCCGATTGGGGATATCAATTTAATTTTTTAATTAACACCTTAACCATGCATTTCAGTCAGACTTCACCTAGAGAATTTTGTTCAGTCCCTGGAGTCACCTTTTTTAGGAAGGACGTTAATAAGCTGGAAAACATCCCAAGTAACAGATTATGTCAAAGAAAGCTGGATTGAAGGAACGGGAGATCATTATCCTAGAGAAGACTTAGAAGGGCATCTTAGTGTCTTCAAGAATTCCAAAGGCTGTCATGGTGAAGCAGGATTTAGAATTATTCTGCTTGTTGGATGTTACAAAGATGAAGATTTCAGGCTTGATGTAAAGAATAGCTTACTAACAAAAACTAGTTATTCCAAAGTGGAATGGGCTGCCCTAAGACCCTTCTACAGGGGAATTTTAAAGAAAATACTTGCCAGGTGTTGGGGGTGGGGGTGGAATTCTTGTTCAGGTCTCCCTTGAGACAGCTAGGTGGCACAGTGGATAGAGTACCGGTCCTGGAGTCAGGAGGACCTGAGTTAAAATCCAGCATCAGACACTTGACACTTACTAGTTGTGTGACTCTGGACAAGTCACTTAATCCCATTGCCTAGCCAAAAAAAAAAAAAAAAGATTTGTTCAGGTCTCCCTTTGGACTCCATGCCTTCCTGTATTCTCTTCCTACTCCAGGAATTTGTTAAAGAACACCCCATCCCTCTTTGGTTCTGGATGCAGGAGGAAGATGACAAAGGGGTCTTTTATTTCAAAAGTTTAA